TAAGTTTCGTCTGTGTGTGTGAAGACAGTGGCGCAAATCCGTGAATGAATGTTCCGAAGTGAAATAAACTTCAACGGAATAAAGTTGAATTAAAGTTGAATAAACTTCAACTTTACTGTTCAGTGCACTGATGTCAGACTCATTTTGGATAATAATGTTTATTGTTAAATTGTTAAATGCCCTGCCTCCATCATTACATATCTTTGTCAGGTCATTATAAGTGTTTGATCACCACATTTGAGTGATCATTGCAAAAAATTTGTATGTATATATATATTCTGTTTATGTACATATTGTATTCTATATATAGTACCAGTCAAATGTTTGGACACACGAATGGGAAAGTGTCCAAACTTTTGACTGGTACTGTACTATAATATACACAAAGAATATCGGCTGATATATCGGTATTGGCCCCAAAAAACCCATATCGGTCGGGCTCTAAATAATATTATTATTTATTATTATTAATATATAATGTTATTGCTTATTGTCATTATTTAATATGCCCTATTTTATTCTGAATAATAATAAAAAAAAAACAATTCTTAAGAACTGATTTACAGAAGCTTTGTTTTATATACATAAAAAAACCTGTTTAAAAACCTTTTAAACACCATGTGTTTTCATAATCTGCTCATTTTGCCCCACACTGCTACAAATCTACTGTAACCTCTTCTATGATGAAAACTAATTCTCCTGTTATTGTCTCCCTTACAGCGATAGATGTGACGTATCTTCTGGAGGAAGGCTCTGGTCGCCGCCTCCGCAGACGGACACTTGGACTGAGTGAATTTATTTGCAGGAAGTAATGCTGACTACACTCTCTGCCGAGCAAGCTTGCAGAGCAGCAAGAGAATAATGAATATGGAGGAGCAGAGGTGGACTACTCCTGAAAACGAGGGGGTCAACAGAGGTGAAAGGCGACAAGTTCAGATTTAGAAAAACAAGCTTTGTAACAAGAGAGACCGGCCCGAGTTTCGTGCACTGAGGACATAGCCGTCAAGCTTGATGCATTTAAAAAGAACAAGTGTCAGACATAGGAAAGTTTGCTTTGAAATTCTAACAGAATTGTTGCAGATGAACTACTTCACTGGTCAAATGTCTCCTATGACTATGTGGTACTATATTTGGCCTTTATTTCGGGTGCAAATGGAAACATGTGAGTCTCGCGCCACCTTGTGGTCGACAATGGGAATGACTTGAGTGCAACCAAGAAAGAAAAATAAATAAGAGCATCATAGGAGGTGCAGTGTAGCGCACACACACTGCCCGTAGACTGAGAAAAAGAGAGAAAGGAGATAGCTAACTGCACTTTTAACAACAAGGACATCATTCGCTCCCGGAGATGTACGGATAAGACACACTAACACTCACGCAGTATTGATCAATGCTGTATGATAAAGCAAAACATAAGTATGTTACCTTCTTTTTCTGTTTGTTTTTTATTTGTTATACTGTAATTACATTAGGAATTGAGCACGATGGGGGTATCCATATTTGTGAGCTCGGGACTTCGGGACTGGGCTTGAATGTTTCGCTCCTGTTATCGTGGGCATTGCGATTGGTTAGAATGGCTGCCAGCCCCGCCCCCTTTTTTTTTAAAGTATTTAATTCACCAGCTCAACATAAATACAAAAAAAACAAACAAACAAACAAAATCTAGCAGTGGAGGCACGCTGGCTTTATATAACGCCTTAGAATGCCGTTATCTTGAGTGTTTTTTTTGTTTATGGTAGTGTGTGAGATTCTTTACGGTGTTTGTGAGCGTGTGTGCGAGCCCATTCTAATAATATAAATACGAAAGAGGAAACAACGAAGGGCTTGACAGCAGTTAATAAACGGTTAAATTCATGAATTCACAAGAACTTATTGTATCATGTAATGTCATATTTTTTGTGAGTGGCTTGTAGGGCGGGTGGGATGGGGGCGGGGTCAGGTTTTAGTGTTGTTGTTTTCTTTTTCTTTTATTGTTTTTAATGGCCTTTCAGGTTGTCATGGAGAATGTTTATGAACAGAATCATGATGAGATTTTTGCCCTTAATGCATCAGCTATGACAGATAAGTATTTCAAACCCCTTAGATGGACCGACAAGGAAAAAAACAAAACAATGAAAACTGACAAACGAAAGGGAAGAAAGTTGTATAGTGCCAAGCTATGTATATAAACAGACAGGAAAATGTGAGAAATGTCTCCAAAAGCAATATCTTGATAATGGATTTTGTGTATTGAATTGTACAGGATTCAGCCCTATATGTATTATTATTATTATTATTATTATTATTATTAAGATTCTTCTTATTATTATGCGATTTGTATCGACAGAACTGTCACATGTAACTTTTCGAGAAGCGGACGAGAAAGCGGCAGACATTATGATTAATAATCGCTACAAATTTCCGGCATAAGCGGCGAACCGTCTGAAACTTTGTAACCAAAACCATGAATTGAGCTCATTGCGAGAGGGAGGATGGACTTTGTGGAAGGGGATGTCGCAGTGACCCCTCACCTGGCACCCGTCACTGTAATAATTAATATTAACATTATTCTAATTATTATTATTATTACTTTTTGAGGAGAAAAAGATATAATGTTCCTCGTTTTTTGCTGCAAAGTGTTGAACACTAAAAAAACAAACCAACATAAAAATGTAAAATGATATTTTGGCAGAAAAAATAAGCTGTCAACCCAATATCATGTTCTTAATCTCCTTTTTAATTTGTAATTTTTTTTATTTTTTGTTCTTCAAATGAGAAAAGATTGTTCTGTTTTTTGTGATGGCGGTCATAAATATAATGCTTTTATTTCTTGTATTTGTGTGTTTTTGTGTGATTTGTTTAGTTATTTTTTTAGACAATCACAAAATAAGATGCAAGCATTGTATATGGACAGACTGGCAGGCATTTTGTGATGTTGTGTACAGTTTGTCGAAACTTCTTCCACTCTGGTTCAAAGTTTGTAATTATAAAGTCATGAAAAATGCTGTTGGTTTTTACTTTTTTTGTTTTATATTCTATTCGTTTTGTTTGTTTTTTTAATAAAAAGCACTACATTATTGTGAATATACTTGCCTGTTGCTCATACATTTAGCAGAGAATCTGTGATACAGTTCTTTATTAGGTCATAACCATTATTATTCCAGGTATACAGACAAATCGTATTTTAACTGTATGGACAGTCATTACATCTTCAAATAAAGTGAATTTTAACTATTGCGTAGCACATTGACATTGTGTACCATCATTTGAACTCCAATTAATGCTAACTGATGTTTTCACATATACTGATGCATCTATTAATTCTTGAGGCATTTATCTGCCATTCGTTATTAAAATGGCAACATTTTTGCTTCAAAATTAATCCAAGATGATTCACTAAAATGTTGTGTCTCTTAATTTGATCAAAACTTTGACTCAGACTTCATAAAGATTATAGTATATTACATTTAAGAAATATTACCATTATGTCCTGACAGAAGACTGATATTAATTTGAAAAATGAATCTCTTTTCATCAGCACCTTTAGATATTTGTGAAAGCATTTATTAAAGCAAGTTACTCTAATTCATCTTACATCTTCTTACTTGGTCATATTACACCTCCAGAAAAATAGTTCATGCAGTTAAATACATGTATGATATGCAAAATGTATACTTTATTTCATTTTCTGTGGAGCTAAAAAAAATCGTTTTTAAACTACCCTGCTTTTTCAGTTTATTAATGTATGAATTTAAGTAAATTTGTCCTTTTTTATTAGTTATCTGATACATTATTTTTATTGTATTTAATACAGGCAAGAAAAATTACTGTGTTCATTTTTGTAAGGTTTTATCTACATTTGTAAGGTTTTATCTACAAGAACGGTGTATTTTCAGTTTTCTTTTTGCCGCCATCCGCGAGGTGACGCCAATAGTCATATTTCAAGTGAGGCGCCAGCTGTTGGCATGGCAACGGAATACAACCTGAGCGAGCAAGAAGCTGAATAAAAGTTGCTCAACTGTGTATTTATTATAATTATTAATCATTTAGTTTTGTTTTAGGTTTAACCAACTGCTGGTTAGTTTTCCGCTTAAAAAATGAAAAAACGAGTTGAAAAATCCTCCGTGGATTCTGTGACCGACGAAGAACCACCTAAAACTGCAGGTATGTGACTGTAAAGACAGATAGACTGACTAGATTTTGACTTCACGTGATGTTTAAATAACCAAAATATATGCCATGTCCGAAGATATGCTGTTTGTTGGAGTTAAAATGCTGTGTGCTAGTCCCTAGAGCACATAAAGTCAGTGTCCGTGTGTTTTTGTATCGCTCAAACTAGATGTGGAGCTGGACTTCACAGAGCTGTGCAAACTCATGGGTGTGAAAGAGATCCCTTCTGTGAAGATAAAGCAGTCAACATCTACAAATAGAGGAGTTATGGGTAAATACTGTTGTACATAAAACATACATTGTAATGTCTACTCTACTAAAGGATGATATGTTATACTTAATGCTATTTATTTGTCTCCCATATAAAAAAAAACGTAATTTTTTCATAATAAAAACCCCAACCCGGACTTAAGAGGACAATCAATTTCAGACATCTTTAGAGAGTCAAATGACAACATGGTCCTCTAAGCCTTGCCTCCAGATAGAGCTGGAGAATGAAGACCACGGCAGTGTAAAGGAAGTCAAAATAACTGGTAAGGCTGTTGCTTCTCTGTAAACTATAAGATGTAGCTGTTCACACTCCTAAGAAATGTTTAATATCAAAATGATTTGTTATTTTTTAGGATGGAGGGTGGATGAGGTGGTGCTTCAGGTGTTGAGCAGGATATTGTCGTCCCTCAGTAACCTGCAGTGCTTACAGTAAGCCTTTGAGTGTGTGTGTGTGTGTGTTGTATGTATGTTTATGAGTGTTCCTGTTGCAAATAAACAGCATGTTATGTCGATTTCCTATTAATGGTGATGCTTTGCAGCATGTGGTGTGCGGGCCTGACGGATTCCACTTTAACCTCCATTAGAAACACGGTGTCTTTGTGCTCAAATCTCAGGTAAGAACAGTCAAACTGTTTTCGAAGGCCAGAATGACTTGTAATTATTTCTTGCCAGTGTTATTAAGACCCACATTCAGTGTGTTATAAATAACTTTTCATTAATTCATTCATTTCACATTCATTAAAGGTGCTGTATGTAGGATTGACACCGAGTGGTTGAACTAGTGATGTTCTTTGTAGCGAACGAGAAGAGCCGACTCCCGTCAGGGAGAGCCGAATCTTCAGCCGGAGCCTTCTATTTTAGCCCAATTTATCAATTGTGAATGGTTTGTGTGTTGGTAAGCAATATTTTATTCAGTGTTTTCATAAAAGCCTTATTTTTAAGCATTTTTTCATTACAAAAAAAAATAAAAAATACACATGCGGCTAATCACATGGGAGGACAGACTAGGATCATACCATTATGTGAAAGAAGAAAGAAGAACACACGCTCCGAAGATAGCAAGTGTAGTGGTAAAGGCCAGGTACACAGAGCGACAGAGAGAGGCGGGGGATCCGGATTTAAAGGGGTCATATGATGTTGCTAAAAAGAACATTATTTTGTGTATTTGGTGTAATGAAATGTGTTTATGCGGTTTAAGGTTAAAAAAACACATTATTTTCCACATAATGTACATTATTGTTTCTCCTCTATGCCCCGCCTTTCTAAAACGCGTCGATTTTTACAAAGCTCATCGGTCTGAAAAGCGAGGTGTGCTGTGATTGGCCGAATACCTCAAGCGTGTGACGGAAATGTTGCTGTGATGCCCTGTCAGGCCGGAGCGACGATTCAAAAACATGAAAACCCATTATAAACGAAGCATTTGTTGCATCCAGTGGGGACATAATTACGGATTATAATATATAATATAATATATAATATATACTGTCTTTTTACATGTTTGCGTTGCATCGTGCCGCATAAACATAAAACCAAGTCTGCATTTGTGATCGGAGAAATGACAAACAACAAGCGCTACTCTACACTGCTCAAAACTCGCGTTTGAATCAGAAAGGAAAAATTTAAATTGCATCATATGACCCCTTTAAACGCAAGTGCGTTGGTTAAGGTAGGAAGACACTGCATTGTTGCAACATCGGGTCCCCTCAGAGAGTCTTCTCAAAAACAGGACAAATAATCACAGAGAGGAGAAATCGCATCAGCACACCTAAGCTGAGACATCTGATATTTCTGAATGCCAACCTGCACTAAAGACTAAAGTGTCTTAATGTTAAGATTTTTGCCTTTATTTATTTGATTTGTTTGCTGTGGTTCTGTGTTCAATTAAAGTTTTATTAAAATGTTAAATAATAGTAACTGTATTTTTTTGTAACGAAAATGCATAAAAATAATGCTATTATAAAAAATTGCTTACCAACACACAAACCATTCACAATTGCTAAATTGGGCTAAAATAGAAGGTTCTGAGTGATACTAAATGAAGAGCCATTTGGGAGCCGAACCAAAAGAGCCGAATCTTTGAAAAGAGCCGGACTTCCCATCACTAGGTTGAACTAGGTATTGCAGTCCAAATTCAAAATATTGGGAGAGGGTTTTTTCACCCGGCCCCTCCTTCTCAGACTTGACGCACACGCAGGTTGCCAGATTGACGACACCAACAGGAACGAGCGCACTTGACGATGAGTGAAATTAAATGCGCTGTGTTTTCCGCCAACTGGCAACCCGAGGTGACGAAACACAATTGGGTAAACTGGCAGTGGGCGGGTTTCACAAACCAAAACAGACCGACATTCCGGCCCCGAACGCACATTTTCAAAGGAGAATAACTGACTGTAGCATTGTTTTTCAGATAAACAAGTATGTTAACTTAACATTTTTCTTAAATATCTGCAAACGTATTATGGTATTTTTATGCTTTAGTAGAGTCAAAAATACATACAGCACCTTTAAATCTCACAAAGTTATTTAAGGTTTAAATGATCATCTTTGATGAAATCATATCCACTAGCGGGCTATAAGCCTACTAGTTTGTGCTTTACACCACAGACAAAAAAGATCTATTCATAAAGTAAACTATGGTAATAGATACTGGAAAATCTGATGACATTATCTACCAATTTATATCTTGATAGGAAGGTGGTTTTAGAGGGTAATCTACTCCCTGACCAGAGTTACCACTTACTCATAGGGGAAGACAGCATGTGAGTCATTTTCATTTTTAAACATACATACACTTGATGCTTACAATCTATTGTACCATTCAAAAGTTTGGGGTAAATGTTGTGGGATTTTTATTTTACTTTTTTTTTTTAATTAATGGTTTTTATTATTTTTTCGCTTTCATTCAGCAAGGATGCATTCATTTGATCAAATAACAAAAACAGCAAAAATGTTTTCAGCATTGGTTATAATACAAAATATTTCTTGAGCGGCAAATCAGCGTACAGTGGTGGCCAAAATTATTAGAACACTAGTATTTTCACCAGCTAAAAATGGTTTTAAGTCAGTTATTTCTATCTTTCGCTGTAGTGTGTCAGTAGGAAATATCAGTTTACATGTCCAAACATTCATTTTGCCATTAATTGTAATAATCCAGTGAGATTTTTGTCTGACAACAGCCAGTGCTCCACACAGAGATCTGATCTCATCATCATCCAGTCTGTCTGGAATGACATGAAGAAACAGATCAAACTGAGACAGACTAAATGGTTCCAGAAGAACCGTGGCAACGCCTCCAAGATGCTTCAAGAAACCTACCTGCAAAGCTACAATACTGTTAAAAGTTTTAGGCACTTGTGTAAAAATACTGTAAAATGAGGATGCTGTCACAAATAATGTCATAAATAGATTTTCTTTATCAATTAACTTCTATTAAATAAATTAAATCAACATTTGGTGTGACCATCCTTTGCGTTTAAAGCAGCTTTTGCCCCAGATGCACTTGTGAATAGTTTTGCAGGTAGGTTTCTTGAAGCATCTTGGAGATGTTGCAACAGTTCTTCTGGTTCTCAGTCTTGCAGGAGTAATGCAAAGCCAAGATGCCCGCTGACCATCTGAATTGGTCTCTTTCCAAGCTTGCATTCTTATACAGTTTTGTTATCAGTCACTGTAAAATAAGCACACATCACCATTTTTATGTATGTTATTCCCCTTGCTTTCCACAAATATTTATTAGCTCTCTCGATTCATCTTTAACAGTGGGATTTTACCCCCTGTCTGTTTTTAAAGATAACTTTTTTATTTAACCCTCTCCAGGTGCCCAGGGGTCCCAGAGGCATATATATATATTACATATGAGCTGTCTAGGTTTTAATAATCTTTGCATGCAGTGTACACATGAATCATTCTTGCACCCCTTGTACACAATCTCAGTCACGTAGGCCATGAGGTCTTCAAAATGTGTGATATCCAAACAACAACTATAAATGTCTTCTATAAAGATAGATAAAATATTTCATCAAAGTAGGTACACACACACACACTGCTTGCAATATAGAATTTAAGTGTGTTATAATGCATCTCTCTCATAATGACAAAATGCATTATTTGTAGGTTTTTTTTTTCACTCAGCTCTTTTCAAATAATGTCCATGCTAGGTTGACGGACGTATCACTACGTAATAATCATATAGGAGAGGAAGGAGCTCGTCTGATTGGCTTGGCTCTGTCCACTGTACACTCTGCCAACAAAAACCTCCTGTCACTCAGCCTAGCCTTTAATAGTATTGGTGATGCAGGTGCAATTCACATTGCTCAGGTGTGTATTGAAGTCTGCCATCTGAAGGTGTTCAGACAGTTTCTAATGATGTCAAGACTGCATATACTTAAAATTGAGTTTTTAATATCACCTATCCCTCTTTTTAAAGGGTCTGCGTCTCAACCGTTCCCTGCTGTGTCTGTCGTTATCCTACAATCAAATAGGGGATAATGGAGCAGCTCATTTGGCTGAGGTATACTTATATACTCCTATTAACTACTACATTCTATTTGCCTAGCTTGACATATTAAACATGCATATTTCCATTCATCTTTTTCTCATTTCCTTATTTAGGTGCTTGGCCCCTTTGCTCTGACACATGAGGAGATAGTTGAGAGGAGGAAGCTGTTAATTAAAGGTGAAGAATCAACAATGGTCCAGCCATCTCTAGTTAATCTTGCAGACTCACATGAGCGGCCACTTTCCGTCCGCAGCAGCTCTTCACTAGATCGTCTCAACAAGACTACAAAGAACCCCACCAAAAAGAAGGTAGAGCAGTGTTGTTCCCTATACATTTTATGACATGAAAACTAAAGAGTCTGTCTCTTTTTATTGAGATATAACACAATGGTTTACAGTTGTTTCATGATGTTTGTTGCATGATTTTACTTTATTGTGTGTAGGACAACCCTAAGAAGGACGAGAAACCAGCGCCAGGTCAGGCAGCAAAGAAAGAGGAGCCAATGGTGGCCAAGAAAGGTAATTAACTTCCTTTGACACCTGTTTGTTTGAGATTCAGAAGTGGACTTTATATTTTAAATGGTATATTTTATATGCTTTTCACTCAGATAATAAAGTTCCCCGTAGTCAGGCTGGAAAATCAGCAAGCAAAGACAATAATCTACTAGTATCTGAACAAGAGGTAAGAATAAGACAAAAACGGAAGGAAAATGCTAAACTCTCTCTCTCTCTCTCTCTCTCTCTCTATATATATATGTATATGTGTGTGTGTGTGTGTGTGTATATATCGACAGTTAAACATTTTTCCCATTAAACATGGAAGCATTTGTTTGTCAGAGAGTGGAGGTGGTTGAGACAGTGATTCCTCTATTGGATCCTGGAATTGTGCACACTGGAGGGAAAGTCATTCATCCAGGAAACGCATGCCTTACATCTATGAATCTCTCAGGTGATTTCATTTCAGAATTGATTTCATTTCGGTATTAGAGTGAAACATACTTGTACTGCTGTAACGTTTTCTTTTCTGATAATGCAGGAAATAAATTGACTGAGCAGTCCCTCGAGGTGTTCCTCTCATCTCTGGAAGGCCAGGGTGAAGGTGGGCTTCTGCATCTTTCTCTCAACGTGAGTATCATCATTCTTTTTCTAATCCTTTTAAAGAGCTTGTTTTAATTTCAACTATGTTTTTCAGAGGAATCATTTCCCCTCAGATTGTGACACCTTCCTTAAGATACAGGAGATTATGTCTCTCAGGGACCCTCTAAAGAAAAACCGCTCTGGTCAGGTGGAGGATGAACACGGTGAACCCAAGACCGCCAACGACGCCTAACAGTGTAAATGACAAGAAGGGTTTAATGTATGAAAAATATGAAAGTTACTGCCTCAACTCAACCAGATCAATAATTCATGCTTTCATAATTTGTTAATATTTTTTATCTTTGCTGTATTGTATTTTTACATATTCACTGACATTATACATGGAGAGTTCTAGACAAAGTGTTGAATATTAGTTTTGATTTGTTTTACATTTTGAACACTGCATGTTATTTCACTGTTTTGATCATTTTCTAGTAAACTTTTCCATTGACATTTAATTTAGTTGGTCTGGGCTTTTAGGGCAAAGGATTGCTGAAACACCCTGTATTGTTTTATATGTACATTTTCCTCTGTATTTCTGCTACACTTCTGCTGAAATGATGTTTTACCAATTCGTAATTTAAATTGTATTAGTTAAGATCTTGAAAATGATAATTGTACCAGCTACGCGTTTTTTAAAATAAAGCATCAAATTCAAGTCAACATAACAAGTATGTTATTCTGTTTTTCATTCATCCGCAGAGCTCTTTATTTTTCATTCTTTTTCCATCAAACATTAAACACAGATTGACTAAACGACTGTGATTGGTCCATCCATGCCAGCGCTGAGAAAAATAACAGGAGACGCGTGCAATGGCTCGTCCATAAGGAAGCTTGACGATGAATTACACTTGAAAAAATACACATATAATCTTTAATAGTCATTAGATAGAAAGCACATGTTTAACTACGCGTTAAACTACAATAATTCATATTTAGGCCTAACATACTTAAATTACGCCTAACTATGCCCGTAAAGTCCACCTATTTTAAGTTGATGTGGGCGTGGTTAACCATCCCGCGTCAACGTGCACTGGACCAATCAGAATGTCTCTTGTAGACTGCATCCGCTGAACGCACAGATACAGTAACAGACTGGACATTGTTTACCTCAGTGCGTTTTTAATTGTTTTATTGCGCACTTTTTAGTTTTTCTTGTGATGTCGGAGGTTGTAGGCTATCCATAAAGAGTTTTCCTTGCAGTGCTGGCAGACTTTGTGCTTTGCCGACATATAAACGAGCGGAATCGTGTCCGCCATACAATCCTGCAGCTGCGCGCCTTTTGATATATGAGTGTCTTCAGGATTCAAATATACTAACTTACGTTACAGCAGCAAGTTGGGGAACTAGACAGTATGTATGTCACTTTGTGTTATTATCTTGCTTTACGCGGTTGCTGTAATGCCATCGCAAAGAGTAGCCACATGTGATCTAGTAGGCCTTAATTTTGTTTAGTTTAATGGTAAGGAAGTTATACATGTTATTATTTTATATTTTTATTTCCTCCATTTGTCACACCTCTTTACAGTTCAGTCAAGTGCCAATCAAGAGTATTGGCCATGTGTTGAGCGCAGGACATTTGCATCCTCTGATTCACACTTAAGTGCCTGTTCAAGAGGTGTTTAACTTAAAGGGTTAGGTCACCCAAAAATGAAAATTCTGTCATTAATTACTCACCATTAATTAAAACCCGTAAGACCTTCGTTCATCTTCGGAACACAAATTAAGATATTTTTGATGGAATCTGAGAGCTGTCTGACCCTGCATAAACAGCAACACAACTGAAATGTTCCCAAGTCCAGAAACGTAGCAAGGAGATCTTTAAAATAATCCATGTGACATCAGTGGTTCAACCGCAATTATATGAAGCTACGAGAATACTTTGAGAACATTTCAGTTGCGTTGCTGTCTATGCAGGGTCAGACAGCTCTCAGATTCCATCAAAAATATCTTAATTTT